CTTGGTCCCAGGTGAACATCAGTGCGCAGGCGGTGCCCTCCATGAGCTATATACCAAGACAAGGAAGCAAATGATGAAACTTGAGCCGGGCCAAGACCAGCTGGAAAATATAAACCCCTGCTTCAGGAGCAGCTCAAAATCAGCACGCGTCGGCGATCCTAATGCCCGAGGTCAGCGAAATGAGTCTCTCGCTGGTTCTGGTCTATCGAAGTAGATTTGGGGGGGTCTGGATCACTCGTGGAATGAGGAATGTGAGTTCCAGCTTGCTTGACAAATGCCTGCGATCTGACCGGACCCGCGTGAAGTTTACCAAGTTCATTGGCTTCGGGCAAAGGCACTACAGGATCGATGGAAGGAAGAACTGATATTGGTGGAATTGGAGATGGATTGGACATGTAATTTCTTCTTGTTGAAATCAAACGCAATGGGGCGACTGGATGAGGGAATCATTGGTGAAACACCTTCTGGGTCATGCTTGCTACTCTGGAAGGCAATCCCAATGTATTCATTACTGGCGCAGGATGCTCAGGCAGCGTTTCAAGACCTGCAGAGCATGTTAATAGATGCCCGAGATGAATGAATTATGAATATGTTCTGCTGATATATGATTCGATCCCAACAATTGAGTCTCGGCAAGGGGCCAGGTCAGCCCATGTTGAAGTTTGAATTATTTTATCAATCCATCAGTGGATCCCATCTGAAAAAACCATCATTATCATTGCTAGCGTCCTACTCCTGCATTGCCCATGTCTGATTTAAATTCACCTCCTGAATCCACTTTTGCACCTCCTGCATCTACTCCTGCCACTGAGGATTCCGGCACTGAATATAAACCCCCCACAATGAGTCTTGCAGATATTGCAGTTACATTGGCAATGGCTGCATTGCGCATTCAAGCCTGTATCAGTCAATATCAGACAGAGGCTGCCGAGAACGATGTTCCTTTGGCTCGGATAATCTACTTTAAAGCCGGAATCCAATGGGAGATCACTGTAAGCCATCAGACAGATGACTGTGGTGGGGAATATACTGAGATTGCCAACAGACTTTTGTGACACCAATTCTGCAGTACTCAGCTGCAAGGAACATAATTTCGGTTATGCCACCCCCGATCACTCATATTCTTCACTTGTTTCCTCAGCTCACATGGAACGCGGTTCCAGACCACATCTTTTCATCCCACTTATCCGAGTTTCGTCTGGTCCGGGATCACGGAGAACCCTCCCGGATCGTATCCTCCTATGATACTCCATGATGGATGGGGGACACTACAATCCCTAACCAACCATGGCAATGGGATCGGGTAATAGATTCCTGTCACTTTCACTACCAGCATTGGCTAGTAAGCATTATACCCAACTTCCTTGATAGATCACTAATCTGATCTAGAGTGGCGTTGAGGACAATGGTTTCATCCTTCCGGAGCAGCTGGACAGCACCCCGGCTCCATCACTGGTGGGACTGAAGTGGATTAGGGAATGCCTGGTGTCGTTGATTCAGGACCATCAGGAGGGCATCCGTGATAAGATGGTGGAGATTGATATGTACACTGACACCCTAGCCCGGTTGAAGAGAGCCAGAGGGGATGATCCCTATTAAATGTTAGTGTATCAAATGTTCATGCCCTTTAGACGTATGTTGTACAGATCTTTGACTCAATGTCGAGTTCCGGGTATCACATTCTGCGTACTGGGCATGGAGCACCAAGGTTAGGAACTAACATAACTAAGGCCTGGGTGTTGAGTACCAAACACTGAACACCGAACACCGAATACCGAATGCTGAGTATCAACGTCCAGGTATCAAGTTCAGTGTATCAAGTTCCGGGTACCGAGCATCGACCATTGAGTTCCAGGTATCGACCATTGAGGTCTGGGCATCAAGTGCCGGGTGTCGAGTACTGACCACCGAACAGTATCGAGTACTGAGTACCGAGCTCCAGGCTCCGGGTTCTGGGTGTTGAGTACCGACTTCCAGGTGTGCGATCCGGGTGCTGAATGCCAAGTGCCGGGCATTGACTACCGAGCTCCGAGTTCCGGGCCTCAAGTACCGAGTGTCGAGTACCGAAACCCAGCATACACATTTTGTAAATTGGACAAATCACCATACTGAGTCCCGAGTCCCGAGTACCGAGTACCAAGCTCCAGGTTCCGGGTTCTGGGTGTTGAGTACCGAACACCGTATACCGATTACCGACTTCTGGGTGTGCAATCCGGGTGCCGAGTGCCAAGTGCTGGGCATTGACTACTGAGCTCCGAGTTCCAGGCCTCGAGTACCGAGTGTCGAGTCCCGAGTGTCGAGTACTGAAACCCGGAATACACATTTTGTAAATTGGACAAATCACTGTACTGAGTACTGAATACCGAGCTCCAGGTGCCGACGTCTGGGTGTCGAGTACCAAACACCGTATACTGATTACTGGCTTCCGGGTGTGCAATCTGGGTGCCGAATGCCGAGTGCCGGGCATTGACTACCGAGCTCCGAGTTCCGGGCCTCGAGCACCGAGTGCTGAGTACTGAAACCCAGAATACACATTTTGTAAATTGGACAAATCACTGTACTGAGTACCGAATACCGAGCTCCGGGTGCCGACTGTCCAGGTGTCGAGTACCTGAACACCAGTATACTGATTACCGGCTTCCGGGTGTTTAGTGCTGAATGCCGAGTTCTGGGAGTGGAGTACTGAGGTCCGGGTATCAAATGTCGAACATTTGCCTGTTTGATGCTTGATTATTGGCACTCGAACATTGGTAATTGGTATTTGACAGTAGGTACTATCACATGGGTACTAAGCTATGTGCCTGTTCTATCCTTGCCAGGATGGAGTATGTACGTGATCCATCCGAGCCCATCCACATGAGGGAATCCCGGCATAAATATGAACAGAATCCCTCATGTACCATGCCCAAGCAATTCTATCCCCTTCCACTTCATGAACCCCATGTCTTACGATCCTTCCTGAAAACGCGATCATACAGCCGGGCTCATACATGAACTCCAGCTGAAGACTTGGCATACTCATGTGAGCATTCAAATAACTACCCACGGTGGTGAGAATATCGAAGCATTCAGGAATGGATATGTGGTCTCGATGATTGGGGGTTTGCCGATTGGAAATGACGGTGAGGGTGTTAAACATGGATGCCCAGTACTGGAGGGTCTCTGACATCCTCGGAATATTCTTGCTTTCGGCTGATTGTCCGAGGCTTAAAAAGGCTCATATCCCAGCCCAGTACTGCTCAGGATGCATCACCCTGAGTGCGGCTGATGCGATGGCTGCCGGCCTGGCAATGGCTTTGAGAATATTCTCAGAGAATGGTCCCTTCAATGAGGCAGATACCGCCAGGTCTGACAGATTCTACTGGATTGGTCAGTGTAACTATCGGAAACCGCCATCTCATGAGATCCCACCTCGTGCCCCTGTTGAAACCAAGCCGGAGATAGATTGATGCATCCAGGAGATATGCCATCATTTTCCGAGCTTGGTTTGAACCAATCCTGATTAGTCCGCCAACTCCCATCAACCTTTACACTTTTTGCAAGGCTCGGACTGAGCAAATCGGAGGCTGCCAGAATTTCCTTCTGGAGTTCCCATTTCATATTCCATATCCATTGAGTAACAAAATATGTTACCCACCTGGGTGGTTTCTGTCAGGGCATCCGGGAGGTACCACACAATGATGGCGCCGGTAGCATCAAGAACTGTCGCGGGTATGTCGACCAACTTTGTACCTTCATGGCCAGGTGGACACCTCTCAAGCAACCTCGCCTCTCTTTCTTCATTATGTCCAGTGTCCTTCGGGGAGATCATTTTGCTGTATCTCGCAATATCAATCTGCATCCGAACTGTGAAGCAATTTGAATGATCAAATGGACTGTCCGAATCTGCGGGAAGACCCACTGGGATTGTTATATGCCTTTATGAGGCAATCCACCAATCGATCGCAAGCCATCACCAGATCAGTGTCTAGCTTAGGAGAAGGTATGACTGGGTCTCCTCCTGTTTTCTCGGCAATGAATTTCTGTTCGGTATATTCACATGCCTCATGAGTGACTGTCAAGGCCCAAGTGCAGCCAGAAGGTTATTTCAATATCGGAGGTGGAAGACACATTCATGATGGTGTTGATCTTGGGAAATCAGATGGTCAATGCCGGATGTCCACAGACTTTAAAGGTGGTGGAGATAGGGTGGATCAGATAGGGAACCTTGATTTTAGCTTTCAAAGATGGATTATCATTTCATTGCTATACTAATATGTCAATGAAATACCGGATAATGGGAAGGGTGTGAGATATCAAATATTTGAGTGTCAGGACCCGGGACCCGGGACTCCCGGATCCTGGAACTCGGTACATGATGCTTGGTTCATTCAAATTTCGGTAGTTGGAACTTAGCTTTCAAAGACGGATTATCATTCATTGCAATGTTAGTATGTCAATGAAATACCAGATCATTGGAAGGGTGCTAGATATCAAATATTTGTGTCGAGACCCGGGTCCCAGAACTCAGTACATGATGCTTGGTTCAGTCAAATTTCGGTAGTTGAAACTGACCTTTCTATGATGGATTATCATTCATTGCAATGTTAGTATGTCAATGAAATACCAGATAATTGGAAGGGTGCTAGATATCAAATATTCGAGTGTCGAGACCCTGGGTCCCGGGTCCCGGAACTCGGTACATGATGCTCGGTTCATTAAAATTTCGGTAGTCGGAGCTTGGCACTTGGCACTCGATAGTCCCACCCATCTATATCATATAATAACCTCAGCCCACCTGTCAACATCATATACATCTGGGCCCACCCGTGTATATCATACAACACCCTTGGCTCGGCCCACCTGTCGACATGATGTGTCTGGGCCCACCCATGTATATGATAACAATTAAACTCGATGCCCAGAACTCGGTGCCCAGGAACTCAGTACTCGGTACTTCGTGATTTGTTCAATTTATGAAATACCTGGAAGTCGATATTAGTTACCTGGAACTCGATATTAGTTACCCGGACATCAATAGACATTACCCAGAACTCGATAGACGTTACCTGGAACTCGATAGATGTTACCCGGCCCGTGGATATGATATCAACCATCTCAGCCCATCCATCTATATAATATACTACTACCTCGGCCCATACGTCTATATAATATACTACCACCTCGGCCCATATGTCTATATGATATGTATCTGGGCCCACCCGTATATGTGATATCCAACTACCTCGGCCCACCCATCTATATAATATCTAATAAATTGCTCTCTCGGCCCACCCATCTATATTATATACCCCCATGTCGGCCTACCCGTCTATGCAATATACGACGACCTTCAGCCCACCCATATATATAATAAATATTTTACCGCTCCCTCGGCCCACCCGTATATATAATAAATATTTCACCACTCCCTCGGCCCACCCGTCTACAAAATAATACCAATATGTCGGCCCACCCGTCTACAAAATAATCTTAATTCGTCGGCCCACCTGTCTAATATGATATATATCTGGGCCCACCCGTCTATGTGATAACAAGCACCCTTGACATACCCGGCTATTTGATACACATCTACCTTGGTAAACCCATCTACATAATATCCAACTACCTCGGCCCATCCATCTATTGAATATTCATGTCTATCGGCCCACTCATCTACTCTACATATTCCCTACATGGGCCCACCCGTCTCCATCGGGAATAATAACACTCCCGTCCCATCCGTCATAGTCGAGGATATATCTACCTTTGGCCCATGGTCCGCTGGCCCGTATCATACGGGATATTATGCACGTCTGTTCACTCGTATAATACGGAGATATGTTACTGCAATATGTGAGAAGGAGGGGAAGGAGGGAAGGGATTCGTTACCTGGGGTGGCCTGTGATGGGGAGCGCGGATCCCTAGGAAGTACCATAGAAGACATGACTGTAACCCTACATTAATCAGACTTCTTTTTGCCTATCATTCAGAAGCAAAGCAGCCTTGCTTGCCCTAATAACCAGACGCAAAGCAGACAGCAGACCTAATATTTCAGATGTGATTTGTATGTCGGGTTAGATGCAGGGGCAGCTATCCAACACAAGCCCACATTGCCTAACCCACCTTGGGATTTGCTCTCAAACGGTCACCATTCTCCACTTTAACCAGTGGGGATTCACACATTTGCCATTCTCTGGTTATAGTATATTTATTGCCACTACTTCTACGTCAACCCTATCGGGTTATTTTGTCATTTCCGCAGTGATTTTTGATAAGTGACAAAAGTAGGGATAAGTGCCAAATAAGTTGAAATAAGCAATGTGTGAATTTACTGATGACACAACAGGCTCTCAGGCGAAAGGTCTCCAAGATGAGTCAAACATACCTTGTAGCTCAAAGCAGTCTATGTGCTGTCAAAGTACCTGTACCCGTCTGGTGAGTTGAGGAGTTGTGTATAACTGGCCCAAGACTTATGTTTTATCCCCGCAGGCAAGCTCCATCCCAACGTTAAGCTCCTTGCTGGTTAAATTCAATTTGATACACAAATTTGTACGAACCTCTTTGCCTGTGGTGTTTCTATCTCCATATTCTTGCTCCCAGCTGCCTCTTCACTCTGCCGCACGATATTTTCTGTCATCTCCCTTACAGCTACCTTTGCTAGCCTGCAGTTGTGTTCTCGAACATTACCGATGGCCTGTTGCTATGCTAGACGCACTTAATACTGTAAAGCTCGTACACTAAACATAATTCAGCTTTGTATGCAATAATATTTCAGCACCTTGCTGTGAATCTCAGAGTGTGATTTCAGAGTACCATTTCAGAGTAAAATTTCAGAGTACGGTTTCAGAGTAAAAAACGGCAATTTCAGCACCTCCATTTCAGCACTTAACGCTCTGAGTTTTAGAGGATCATCCTCTGAAATCACCTAATGAAATTCATTGGATCTACTACCCACAGTGAGTAGGCATTAGTGTTGAGCTGAATGACAGGTTCGACGCGCGCTGCCCTGTGTATTAGCAATACTGGTGTAGTTGTGGATCGCACTCGTGGATCGTACTACCAGGACTAGTAATAAACACTGTCCTCCCTGAGAGCCTGTTCAGCAACCGACATTTGAACAAAATTTAGCCAACCAAACAAATTGTGCATGAGCGGCACGAAAGCCGACATGTCAGAGTTTGAATTCACTTGCCCTCCGACTATGATGACGATTCCTACTACTATTAGCCATTGATACGATCCTCTGCAGTGAAAGCGCATCTTTGCAACTGTAGCTGTTCTCATTGTCTGTACCCAGTTTCAACTCCTGTCTACGACCAGAAAGAATGAAAACAAATCATCTGTACCAAAAGCACAGTGGACCACCCTGGAGGTTGAGGCTCTCTTGGATTATCTAATCATGCAGGTATCCAAGATGGCAGGGACAACATTCAGAGAGGAGACATTTACCAATGCTGCAAAGAAGATAGCAGAGAAGGTTGAAGAAGCAGGGATTCAGGCCCAACCCAAGACCATGACACAGTGTAAGACGAAATGGTCAACTGTGAGTTACATCTGTCCCACTCAGATCATTGCTAACATCAACTGCCCCTATAGTTGAAACAGATCCACAGCGCAATAGACAGATATCGGAACAGTCAATTGGGATGTCATTGGGACAATATTAATGGGGCCAATATTCAGGGGCCATTGGCAGAGCTCACGTGGGAGCAATTTCTCAATGCCAGCAGCGGCAACAAGGTATGTAAATACATTTGGCCTCCAGTCTGCTGCTTACATTTTGTCTTGAGGTTATGAAACCTTTTAAAAACAGCGGATGGCCATTTTGGTCCAAGATGTTGCAGATTCTGCCACACGGCAGTACCGCTGTTGGGGCGGCTGCCTATAACCCAGCTTCACTCACTGCACAAGCATCAGCGGCTGCTGCCGCTACTAGTGCTGACCCAGAAGCAAGTGGTGATGCTCTGGGTCTTGATATGGGCATGGCTGATGCTGCCACCGCCGCCGGTGGTGTTAGCAACATACCTGAAGTTGACGCCACTAACGCAGAGGCCTTGGATGGCTTTGGATGGGGCCATATCATGTCTACTCTTCCAACCCCTGGGCCTGTGGCCGGAGGTTCTATGTTCCCCCCTCCCCCGTCTTCAGTGGCAGCTTCTAGCACAGGAAAATGCTCACACTCCGATATGATCCTTTCTGCCACCACCCCCAGAACCTCTGTTCCGGAGTCTCCCACCGGCAGCACTGATAAAAAACCTAGATTATCAGCACGCGGCGGCGGCAGCAGCAGCAACAACACTGGCATGTCGCGCATCACTAACGGCTCTGGCAAAAAGGCTGCCAAGGACGCTGCCAGCACCGCTGCATTTATGAACCTTCAAGGCTGCATCAACCACCTGACAGATAGTCTCACAGCATCGATGGTCAGTACTGATGAAAATCGGGTAGCAGATGAAAGATCGAGTGCCATGTCCATGATGCAAGATGAAGATGGTGTGTCAGGAGATGACAAGATCACCCTCATGAACGTGTTCATGAGGAGCCCAGTTGTATGCTCCACCTACTTGCTCAACAGGCCCGAGAATTGTCTACCCTTTTTAGAATCTGTTATCTGGCAGGCTCACAGGGGGGAGTATGGTGCATTCTAATTGTCTTCTCACTCATCGAAATCATATCGCCGTCTTGTTGCTTCATCCTCTTTCATATCGCATCTTACAAATCACGTTACATAGCCTCCATTCATTGATATGCAGTGCATCTTCATGTTGTAGTCCTATGTACACTATGCATCGTGAATCTATGCATCGTTACCATCATCCTCACTCCCATAGTACTCATCTATGTCGTCCTCATTCTCCGAGTCTTCATCAATATCCAACGAGTGAGCTACGTCAATCAGATCACGCTCCTGCAAAATTGTCTGGTAATCTTCCCACATCTTAGTTGCCATGTGATCACAAAATATGTTGGCTTCATCGTGGATAGTTGCGGGTTCGGGTGGGTCATCGCGTGCTTCGCCAGGTTGTCCTTGATGGGTGGGGTTATCATTGAAGATGGCTCTCTGAGGTGGAGGCTCTTCATATGGGTCATGAGCGCGTATGTAATTATGAAGAGCGCATAGCGCAGTGGGTATG